CGTATATAGGAACGTTCCAGATCCCTCTAGCCATTGCCATTCTGTTAAAGGAATCCGGACAATTTGTAGATGCACATGAATAACTCAGTCGGTAAGGAGACTGCTCACAACCTGAACGAACGTCGCTGAGGTTTCTAATTTATATTCCTGCTGTCATGATTTCGATTCTCGGTCCGGAATTCTTCTCTTTTGAAGTGTGGATTTTCGAGTTTCTCTTAATTCCTTTGGAAACATTCTGGAATAGTGCTGAAAACGGTCACGACCTTTGCTTCTGGCAGTCCTGTCACATGTTTACATAGATGCATGAAGATGCGGAAGGGTTGTTAAGTAAATTAAGATGAAACAGAAGCCACGCGGGTGAACGATGCAAACTGAGGTCCTCGTACCAGAGCGAAATAGTTCATTTCTACTCAGAACAATTCTATCGAGAACCCATACTACTAATAAGTGGATACTACTATGAATTTGTTAATAAGTATGTCCAGGTTTTCGAACGATTTCTCATCTCTACAGTGCCTGTGAAACTTGGTCTCCGACATTAAGGGAGGAACATAGACTGAGGGTGTTTGAGAACAGGGTGTTGAGGACAATATTTGGACCGAAGAGGGATGAAGTGACAGGAGGTTGGAGAAAACTGCATAATGAGGAGCTTCATAACCTGTACTCTTCTCCAAGTATAATTAGAATGATCAAGTGAATGAGGATGAAGTGGGCAGGGCATGTAGCACGAATTTTGGAGAAGAGGAATGCATGTAGGATATTGGTGGGAAAGCCAAAAGGAAGTAGGCCACTGGGAAGACCAAAGCGTAGTGAGTAGACAGCATTAAAATGGATCTTAGAGAGATAGGATGGGATGGTATGGATTGCATTGATCTGGCTCAGGATAGGAACCAATTGAGGGCTCTTGTGAACACGGTAGTGAATCTTCGTGTTCCATAAAATGCTGAGAAAGAGGAAGGCTCAGCTCCATGTGTAAGTGAGTACACTGCTTGTTACATGCTTTGCTTCGCCGACTCGTCTCGTGTTCGTCACCGTAATAATATTTGACTAAGATTAGCTTAAGTTAGTACGAAGCTCCTCATTATGAGTCTCTCTTCAGAACCCAGGAAACGAACACGCCTCGCCAGAAGATGGCACTATAGGCAAGCTATAAAATACTGCATAAATTAGACTGACATCAGACAGTGGTCAGTGTCTACTATAATTATGTCTTAATTATAGAAACAAAGTAATTATTTTACTTTTCATGATTTCCAGGCTCGTGGATTCTAACACCGCTCGAATTACAGATGTTTGTCTTCGATTTTCTGTGTTTTGTTTTGCTCTATGATAGCCCTGAGAGGACCACCTATGTGATCTAGTGGTCAGAGTTCCTGGCTACAGATCTAGAGGTCCCGGGTTCGATTCCCGTCACTACCAGTTTTTCTGAGAAGTCCATTCAATCCTCATAAGGATAACTGAGGAGTTACTTGAATGGAAAAGTAGCGGCACCGGTCTAGAAAACCGAAAATTAACGGCCGTGGGGATTCGTTGCGCTGACCACGCGACACCCTCTATCCGCTAAAGTTGGGACTAACTTCGCCGACAAGCGGCGGTCGCTCGATCGGTATAGTTCGCTTGCGGACTAAAACCCCGGAGTTTTTTTGTTTGATGATAACAATGGGCTGGGCTGATTCACCATTCTTGGTATCCTGCCGTACATCCAAGATATGCAGAACTTCAACATTCAGTCGGAGACAAGTGTGTAGCCCATGAAAGCGTAAGAAGTCGAAGGAACTTGAACATCTGTCGTTGTGCAACAAATAAATTACATGAGAGTGTAGACCTGATAACATGACTCTAATGTTCAGTATTTACTTGACTTGGTATCAGTATATATAATTCCTTTTAGCTTCATTGCATGGATTCATACTTGCATTTCACTGGATTGTAATGGGCTTTGCTTCTTAATTTACACATCGACCTCACGCGTCTTCACTTTCATGACAAGACTTAGTTTACATCTAGCGAAGATGCTGCTTTTGAAAACCTCAAATTGATCTTCTAGGCAATTTGCTCGTATCTTCCCCACATAATGGATGAGACATAAACTCTGGTTTAGGTATCATGTCCTCCTAGCTCGTGAGTAAGTGGTTCTTGCTGCGTTACCTAGCAACCGTCTGCCTCTTTAGGATAAACAAAGCAGTGGAACGTGACCTTCCACTGAGAGAGCAGAAGTTGCGTTCTTCTTTAGACTCCTAACAAAACGCAGTTTATGTTCACCGGGTGAATTTTTATATTATTTAATATTTAAGTAAGGCATGTGACAAAAGGTCACCAAGAAATTACAGTGATGACGTGGTGCCACGAGATTTTATTACTACTGGTTGAGGATCTATGCTACAATCCGGAAGGTTGCGGGTTCAAGTCCCGATGAGGTCATTGGATTTTTTTCAGATGACCTAATCCTTCCAGCCGCACTAGGCCCTGGGGTTTGCTCAGCCTCCAACAGAAATGAGTACCAGGAATTAATTAAATAATTTTCCTGGGGAGCAAAGCGCGGCCGGCGCGTAAGGCTGACAACCTTACCGCCACCATTGAACCGATTGTCTAGATAATGTGGGACCCTCAACGTCACTCAACCCTATGGGCCTTCACAGCCTGGTACAGGGATAGCTTTACTTTCTTTCTTTTTATTGTTTCCTGTTAAAATGTAAAAGTAAACTGTGTTCAAATTCTGTGCTAAAGAATTAAAAAATTTGGTGGTCATTACAAACACATCGCTCGATGGCGGTTGTTTAATGAGTTTTATTAAGGAACAGCACATTCTCTCTTCTGGGATACAGCGTCAGGCAGCTGTTGACTCTCAACGACCACGCCAGTATATACCAAGGAATAGAACTCTTCAAAACCACCGCCTTGAAATCCTCAACGCAGTCTCACTTATAATGTTCTCCTGCTTGTCTATTAGACGACAAATGCCTACAAGTTGTCTATTTTATAGTTACACAAATTTGACAGCAAATGCCTGGCTACCAAATTACGCCTCTCTTCGCGCGAGAACACGGAACCGAGACACGCTTTACTGTAGATGCGGCAACTTCTCCGGCTCATCTGTCTCGCATGTGCTCTAATCATACTCTTGCAGGCGCACTGCAAGCCCTGAAACGCACGCGTCATGTTATTTCTTTGCTTTGTATACGTAAACAGGAAGAAATATAAAGCTTTAAGAACATTACGTACGTCGTGTCTGTCGGGTTGCCCTTCTGTCCATCAATATATGCATGTCATGTCTCTGTCCACACTGACTTGGTACTGCGTCTTGTTACTAAAATATCACGACATATATATATTTTACCACAATTGAGAAGCAGAAATTTGAAGATTTGTAGCGCTTAAAATCTGATCAGTTCTCTAATTTTGATGATTTATTGCAGTAATACAATAAAATAAAATTATAATACTGAGGGATCAGCTTCACGTTGTGAGTGCTTTCTTCCTGTCGTGAGAGAGTCATTCATTCGTAAGAGAGTTCAGTTCAGTAGTTGAGTTGAGTTGCGTGTTCAGCTGTGGAGTGTTAACTAGCGAACAGCGGGAGCTGCAGAAGCGGCCTATTCACAAATCAGAGCCAAGTCACTCGCAGTGAAGGAGATGATCGTCGCTGTCCAGCAGAATGGAGCGAGTCTTACACAGTTGTTGATTTGAGCCGTTGTAAAATGCTTGTAATTAAGACAGATTGGAAACGAATCTGTTATTAAATCTAGCCGTCCAGTTCAGGACTTGTTATTATTCGTCAAGGAACCCTGGACACATGACTATGTATATATCTATTGCGATTGCAGAGTATTGTAACACTGTATCATATTGGGAATTATTTCAATTTAGGAAAACCTCTCGTTATATTTTCTCCATTTCCGGTCGTCGAGTGCACGAGTAAGTACATGTACAGTTACTGTATCGACGGAACTGTGTAACAAGGTCAACGAAACGATTAAAAAACGATAGAATGAGAATGGAATCAGCCGGGTCCTTAAAAGGGTTAATGCAGAAATTCAGGACAGCCTACGGCTGAGTCAAAGAGAAAATCCGAAAAGGACACCAGCGACAATCAGTGTGAAAAATCTAAACGTCGCTTCACAAGTGAATACAACACAAAAGCAAGGGACAAAATTACAGATTGCAGACGTAGCAAAACAACGGGCTTACGAATAAAACACAGGTTGCCGCAATAAAACATCTGTAGTAAAGGATACAAATCCAAATACTCCTTGTGAGGAGTAACAAGAATATTATAAAATTCAAAGGAAAATTAATTTTATTAGATTTTATTTGATTTAAATTAACTGTTGTATTTTAGCGTCCTGTTGCACTGATTTTCATCCATGATATGTATACAGTGGCCGTCTTGTAGTGCACTCAGTTTCACCTGTTACTTCACGACATGTTTCGGCAATATAGTGCCATCATCAGGTGCCCTAATTACGCTAATCTATTGCATTGCTTGCCTTTATAAAATTATTTAAAAGTGCGTATTTGTCAACTACAATGAATTTACACACACTAAAACCTGTTAAGATTATTCATCTTATGTGTCATGATTAAAACTTGCGTGTGGTTCTTCCGCTATGGGGGTCGTTTTTCTTATTTTCTGTGTAAACCGTGTCTTGTGATGTGTGTTCCCTTCTTAGCTGCGAGTGTTTTAGCGCGTACCAGTCAGACCACAACTATAACGGTTTGAATCATGAAGCGCGCAGGCGCATATGTGATGAATGGATAATATTCGTGCAGTGTACGGTTCTAGCATAGCAAGGCACCTGAAGTTGCCATTTAGGGCCGAAACATGTGTCGAAAGCGAGTGTGTGTTGCATTGGTGACGGACTGTGCAGTACATAAATAGTTTTAGATCCAAAATTGACATTATGTTGTTGATGCATAATAATTTATTCCGGTTTCCAGCTTTAATTAAAAAAATACTAACTCAGAATTACGTTATTGGTACAAAATTCTGTCCCCGTTTTCAGCTTTCCCGGCAGAGGACCCAATGATTGAAGGCGTACTGACAGCGTATTCAGTAGGTGATTACGTCACTGCGAATTGCACATCGGGAAAATCAAATCCTCCAGCCGTCCTCGCCTGGCAAATCAACGGCGTAAAGGTAAGCGTTTTGTACATTTGATTTCAATTGTATCTGACACAATAGTTCACCGTACAAATATTTACAGAGAGGCTTATTACAATTTTCATACATTCTGAATGCAAAGAATAACGAAAACTCTAAACATAGGCGACCTAGTTTTAAGGTATCACACCAACGGCCTGTCAGAGACGAAAGTAACAGATCGAAAAACTGAAGAAAGGGGACAAGGTTGAAGGGATAGAGAGCAAGGAACACAAGTGCAATAACAGTGAATTTGAGAGGGAGAGGCAATCAACTCCTGACCTGACACTGGCCAGGAAAAAACTGTAGAAACTACTGAAGCCTGTAAAGAACAGGAAGTTTCCATGTAAACTGTAGAAACTGCTAAAGCCTGTAAAAACAGGAAGTTTCCATGTAAATTGTAGAAACTACTGAAGCCTGTGAAGAACAGGAGGTTTCCATGTAAACTGTAGAAACTACTGAAGCCTGTGAAGAACAGGAAGTTTCCATGTAAACTGTAGAAACTACTGAAGCCTGTGAAGAACAGAAAGTTTTCATGTAAACTGTAGAAACTACTGAAGCCTGTAAAGAACAGGAAGTTTCCATGTAAACTGTAGAATTCTATTTGAACTGATGTTAAGCATATAAAACTAAATAGACTTACAGCGAACTTGAACTCAGTAAATATAAACCTGGTAATGAAAAATTATTTTCTATGCTCGAAATGCAAATGATGGGCCTGGCTTTCAGTGTGTCCCCCACCACTTCCCGTCTCATGCGAGAGACGGAGCCACGCTGCGTATCCTCAAGCAGCTTCCATCTCGTGGAGCAAGGTGTTGGGCGCAGGCTACGGTGTCAGGAAGGAAGTTCTGGGTAGGCCAAGACAGTAATTAAACAGAAAGGACGGTAGGAGCATTGCTTCTTGTGTAAACACCTCGCTGTGTAAACTGTCTGCTGAGTGATTGGAAGTCTGGAAGCCTTCGTGCCCCTGTTTGTTTCAAACGAACGTATAATTTTCGCGCCAATCCTCAGTGTACATTGCGAAGTTTCTATACCGCAGACTCATCAGAAATTTATAAAGTCTGAAATATGTTATAACTATTAAATTACTTCCTATGAGTGGGTTTGGGTTTGGTTCTGAGGTCCGGTAGCTTGAGAGATTATTTGTGACTATAAAAAAATCACAATAAAAACTGAGGACAGAGCAAGGTAAAAAGTTTACCGGTAACTGGACGTTGGTCAGCCAAAAAATGAACGTGTCACATAATGTTAATTGCACGTTTTTATATTACGAGTATAGGTCGATGCGCTCTATGCTACCGTTGCTACTAAAAGCAGTTTGTTGGCATCACTGCTTAAGAAAATGTCAAGAAATTTATTGTACATTTATCAACGAATGTTTTATGCTCAGAAAACAATGATATAGACCATATCGGTGAAGAAGTTCTTACAAGTGTCAACGGACAAATAATGCCAAATGTAAGGTGGACTAATCAGGCTTCAATGGCAGAATATTTTAGACTGAATTGAACATGTGACTTACATAAGAAAATGTCTTTTTTTTTTCTTGGCACTACAGCCCCAGTGGGCCTAGGCTTACCTCCATGAACTTCTCCGTTCACTTCGGTTTTTCTAGATCTTAGACATACGGTAGGACTCCTTGGGCGGGTGATCAGCTCGTCGCAAGGCCTGTACCTGTACACAAACACAGAAAAACACACAGAAACATCCATGCCCTGAGTGGGATTCGAACCCACGATCCCTGCTTCCGAGCGAGCGAAGGCAGTGAACGATTTAGACCGCTCGGCTACTGTGACCGGCAAGAAAATGTCTTAGAGAGGTGAGTAATTATCGACTGCTGAGGGAAGACTACTCCAGGAACATCAATTCAGCTCCATGAATGACGTCATGAAAGTGTTGCTATTGTGATGAACAGACTTTGCGCTTCCTGGTCATGTAAATTATAACAGAACTTTTAATCATTAAGTGAAAGACCAAATTACATCAACCTATTTATGTATTAAATTAGTCCTTAATCGTTTGTGACTGGTATAAAATTTACGAAAATATGATTTATAATCTGTTCTCTCTGATCGGATGTTGTCTATTTACTGTTCACTTTGTTACAAGTTTGAGACGTGAGGATTCGTTAAGAATTGATGTCACTTTGTGGATTACCAAGCGCGGCGTTGATCCTGAGAAGTGATTTATCGTTGCTTGTTTTCCACTACACTTCCATAAGAAACTTTGAACGCAAGTTTGTTATAGAACTACCATTTCCTATTCAATTATAAGACAATGTAACAAAGGGAGACCAAAACGTGCTCTCCTGGTAGTCATTTTATGCTTAGCAGCCAGAGAACATTCATCTTTTGCGTAGTTTTAGTATGGATATTCATTCTAACAACACTGTCGAAGCAGAGTTAAAGAGAATGAGGTTTAAGTACTGCAGGCGGCCAGCGGAAATTCATTTGTCATTTTAGATTGCAGCAGTGAAGCTAGCTGTGCTTGCATATTCTCAGGTGCACTCCATACAGTATGGTCCTTCTTGTGAAGTTTGCAGCTGCTCGGTTAGTCGGTATTTCCCCCCTTCTTTTATGAAACCAGCGGGTAAATTAGATGACCTTGTCCTCATGAACCTGCCACTGGAGCCTGACGTGGGTCAGTGGAATTACATTCTCCCTATTTATATAACACAATTTTAATATTATAATCTCATCTGTTCCCATTCTTCCAAGTGGTCCGTCGACCAAAATTTTATATGCAATTTTTATGTTTCGAGTGCTTGTTACTTTCCTCTTCTTCCTTGATTCGTTCACCCGAACATCAATGGGCGAAGACTATAAATGACTGATATCATCATGAAGTTTTCTTCAACTTCCTGTTACTTCCTCTCCCTTAGGTTAAAATATTCTCTTCAGTGCGTTCCCAAACAGTGACCGTATAGGACAATGTAGGAAAAGTACACGTACTTAAATATTTCGTGCTCTACACATGCTACAGGGTGGTCACGGTAGCCCAGCGCTCTAAGGCATGCACTGTCTTCGCTCGCTTGGAAACCGGGATCGTGGGTTCGGATCTGTTTCCTGTGAGGTACGATCTGAATTCTTGTATCTTATTCTTATACACTGCCGGTCACGGTAGCCGAGCGGTCTAAGGCATGTACTGTCTTCGCTCGCTTGGAAACCGGGATCATGGTTTCTGATCCCACTCAGGGCATGGATGTTCNCCCGTAATCGGTATTTTGCAAATGGTGTTACGGGGAAACCCTGGATTCAGCGAGGTGAAAAAATTCCGCAAGATAATAATATTTAAAACGTTATAATATATATGTTATAATTATAAACTTCACTTAAAATTAATTTAATTTTGTAACATATTTAGATTGGAAATTTTACTTTCAAACGAAGAAACTAATAAACTGAAATGTGTTTTTGCTTCGCTGAAGCAACAGATGAAGGCCCAGCTGTAATATCCGATGGGCACTGCTCACACACTAGGAGCTTGGATGCTATTAGTATGGCGCGAGAAGACCACTTTCCTTGGTGTGCTTGCCTCTCATCTTTTCCAGTGAATTCAGACACCTGACGTGGTTTTATGCTACACTCAGGGATTAATATGTGGCTGATGAATCATCCTGGACACAGAGTAACCCACTATAGAATTGTTATGTTTCTGAGAAAGGCATACCTTCGAGATGTGTCTGTCGAAACAGCTGCGAACGATGTCACAAAATTGGTTCACTGGAACTAGTCCGGTGATTGAGACTAGCTCTTTCCAACGGGCCCAACTGAGTAGGGTTATCCTGCCCCATCCAACTGAGGACGGAGACAGATCCAGTCTCCGAAACGTCCTGGTTTTCTGTCTTATATACCAGATGATGGATAGAGTCCAAAATAAGCCGAACAGTTCTGTACTTCCAAACATGTAGCAGTATAAAGGAAATTGTTTTATCCGCTGTCTGCGCCAAGCAACAGTAGAATATTGGGGTTATGCAATCCGTTTCTAGTCAACGTCTCTGTAAACACTTTTCCGCGTATCGGACCATACCATACAACGTGGTGACGCCATCAACAATAGAACTGTGTTTTCCATGCAGTCCGTGCCGTGGTTATATAACGAGAGATATGAGCTCTAAGTTCAGAGCTAATTTGAACTAGGAGTATAGATGAGTACAAGAAGTCAGCCTGTGAAGACTTCACATGTGAGTTGAAGACTTTCTTTGTGCTGTAGTGCAGTGATATCTGGAGTGTGACCGTTATAGTTCTTGTGTTCAAATCCTTTGCCAGGAAACGGATAAGGAAATCTGTTACCTAGCGACGACTAGTGTGAGCAGATATAGGGGACTTTTGTGTTATGATTATAGTAATCTTGATAATGTTATAATTATTTGTAGTTACGGCCAGTGAATATCCAATAAATCGACTCACCGATCCAATCCCACGTCTTAGTCACTGATACACGTGACAGGATTTTGCAGTGATTTATTTTCTCAAGACCAACGTCGAGAGCGGTGGGTCCAATGCACACGGTGGCAAAGAGGGGTCACTGTGGCTGCGCTGGGAACTCAGAGAATGTTAGTTTTATTTGTGGCGTGTGCCTTAAAGGTTAAAAACATGTCTGTAAGGGGTATGTCCAGTCATATCACGCAGGAAACATTAGTACTACAGCACAGGATAAAACAAAAAAGAACGGAAAAGTTACCAGTTAAGGTGGTTTATACGAGTGTTTAAACCTTNTCTAACGAAGGTCATAACACACAGAATTACTGGGTTTTGGGACTTTTTCCATCGTCCGCAATTCTAGGAAATAGAAAACGCTGGTTCAATGATTGATATTAGCTCTTTCTAAAGGGCCCAACTGAGTATGTTGCTTCGTCACCTGAAGGCGGAAACAGATCCAGTTTCCGAAACGTCGTGTTTTCTGTTTCCTAGAATTCCGGGCGATGGAAAAAAGTCCAGGAACCCAGTAATTCTACACGAAAGTGATGTTTGATGTTTGAAAGTGTATGGAAAGTATAGTTGTTCACAAAGTAACCGTGCAACATGCAGCTGAGCCATAAATTCTCACGTGGTAGTTTCTTGCGATGTTCTACTTGTTGCATTTCAGATTTCGGGGAAAAAAATGCTACCAGTTTATCTGCATCTATTGGCACTGCGTTGCGCAGGCGTCATATCATCGGACTACGGTGACGTACGTGTAGTTTCTTCCACTTAGCCGTTTGTAGTTCGGGGACAATGACCACAACTCAAGCCTTTCAGTTTGACGATCGGGCCGGTTCATGAGACAGCAGCGCTTCTTCTGCAGTGTAACCTACTTTTCAGGTCTTGCTTGACATTGCCTTTGATTTGGGTTGTCACGGCTACGAATCGAGATTATGCGTCCCCCTTCACCGCTGCAAAGAGAGGCTGCTATCGAAACATCTAACTTCCTGTGGGGTTCGTTGGTGTTTCAGGTGGACACGTGGGTCTGGGAGTACCGTGACGGAGCCGACGAGACGGACTCGCAAGGACTACACACCAAGACAGTGGGGCTGCACTTCCAGATCCAGAACGAGCACTTCACGAGTAACAGGGGGAGCCTCATTCCCAGGATGGAGATCCGCTGCTCGGCCACCGTAGGAGGCAGGACTCGGCACAAGGCCGTGTTCCCCAGCCTCGCAAGGGCCCTCACTTCTAATAAACTGGCGCAGGAGGGCTTCCGGAACTCTGCAGGTAGGATACTTGCCACATACGTGTCAGTATTAACAAAATCTAAGTACTGAGGAGAACATTTGTACGGAAAGCGAGCTTGGAAGAAGTAAGAGATAATATTACGAGGAACTTCTCAATAAGTAGACCCTACTCTTCAGCAGCTACCATTAGCACTGTACAAACGAAAGAGTATATTCGACAGAAATGTGAAATGCATGCAAAATTTTGGTTGAGAAACTTGAAAAAAATAAGATATCTCTAGGGAGATGCGGACATAGAGAGGAGATTAATAACAAAGATATCCTTAAAAAAAACGGAAAAGAATGTAGACTCGAATGAACTGGCTCTTGCTTTTTCCGTAAAGGAATCAGAACTTTATTGATTGTGTGACGAAATGTCATATTATCTCGTTAATGGAATTATAAAAACCTGATTTCTTTTGATAGTGGTCACTACTACGTCTAGTCTTGTCTGAAGAAGATTCCTTTCCCACAGTTCTGCCTAGTACATAGAAACACTGCAACAACAGATAACGAGGATTACGTTTGTAACTGAGTTCCACGATCCTCGGAAGGAAATGCCGCCAGACCAGCCATTACACGTTTTGCGGTTAGAACAAGATTGTGGTCGTACAAATACACTGCCAGGCCAACTGCAATGAACTGCTGACTGGATGAAAGTAACTGAACGCAACTGCATTTGCAGATAAAAAGTTTCCATTGTAAGGTTCATTCACTCACTCATGGGGTGAGCATTCTTGATAAGTCACCAATTGTGCAGCTACTCAAGAAATTTGCAGCATGCAACCCAAATGCTCATTAACGTGTTCACAAGAGCCCCCCATTGGTCCTTCTCCTGAGCCATATGAACCCAATCCAATCTATCCCATTCTGTCGCTCTAAGATCCATTTTAATATTGTCCACCCACCTATGTATAGGGCTTCCTAGTGGTCTCCTTCCATCTGGCTTTCCCACTAACATCCTATATGCATTTTTCTTCTCCCCTATTCGTTCTACACGCCCTGCAGATCTCATCCTCCTTGACTTGATCATTCTACTTATACTTGGAGAAGAGTACAAGTTATGAAGCTCCTCATTGTGCAGTTTTCTCTAACGTAGCAGCATTTGAAATCTCTTCGGTCCAAATATTCTTCTTAGCACCCTGTTCTCAAACACCCTCAGTCTATGTTCCTCCCTTAATGTCCGAGACAAAGTTTCACACCAATACAGAACCAGAGGAAAAATACAGTTTTGTGTACTCTAACTACGAGTATTATGCTTTTTGGAGACCAGACGAGAAGACAAAAGGCTCTGGACTGAATGGTAGCAAGCATTACCCGAATTCAGTCCCATCTTAATTTCCTCCTGAATCAAATTTTGATCTGTTACTGTCTTTCCCACATATCTGAACTGTGCCACTTTTTCAAAACATCTGTTATCTATGTCATGATTTTGTCCTGCATTCTGGTGGCGAGACAGCGACATATATTTAGTTTTCTCTGTGTTTACTTCTAGACCAAACTCCTTACTTGCGTCAGTTAAAGTTGTCCTGTGATTAACTAATTAAACACTACGCCATGAAGGCGTATGGGGGAGTGGATTTATAGAGCCACATAACCTCCTTACTAACATCAGCTAACGCCTATGAATTTTTCTTTACGTTATTAAATTTATTTGGTTCTATCACTCCAGCATTCGTGCTTGAAACACGGAGGCAGAACATACAGAACCGCCGTTAATATAGTGAGTAACCTGCCGGAAAATTAAATAAGAAATCTGAAGTATAAATTAAGAGCATTGCCACCGCACATATTTGATCGGTACTGTTGAGAGGAAAGCAATGAGGATGGAAAATAAATTTGGTAAACTTAAGTCCAGCAATTCACTGATTCATTCAGCCGTAGTCGCTGACTATGAATAGTACTGTCTTCCAAGATACCAAGCTGTGTCGTTAGGTAGCATTTTACCAACATTCCTCCAAAACCTCAGTAACTTTCAGATAAATTTCAGAAGATAAATACTATCCGTAATATTAGATATCCCTAATTAGACCCGTGGCTTTCTTCAGTCATTTTTCCCCTTGGCAGTACAATCCCAACGGGCCTAGGCCTACCTCCATGAACTTCTCCGTTCACTTCGGTTTTTCTAGATCTTGCACATTCGGTAGGACTCCTTGGGCGGGTGATCAGCTCGTCGCAAGGCTTCTACCTGTACACAAACACAGAAAAAAACACACACACAAACTAAACGTCCATGCCCTGATTGGGATTCGAACCCACGATCCCGGTTTTCAAGCGAGCAAAGACAGTACATGCCTTAGACCGCTGGGCTACCGTGACAGGCCTCTTGAGTTATTTTAGGTGATGTCAAATCTTTAGTGTATCCTCCCTCATCCTCTCTCGTTTCCGTTTATTTTTCGCTCTCCCTTCTTGTTTGATGACGCAAAATATCTGCCACTGATTTGCAGTGAGATTTAGACCTGTTCACTGAAACTAAAAAAGTTATCAAAAATGTATACTTCATCCCTCTCAGTCATCCTAAAAACTTAAAATATTTTACATATTCGTGCATATTTTGCTAATCTGTTTTGAGAACGGTATTTGCTTATCAGTTCTTGTCGTTTTAAGAGAAGCCCACTTTGTAGATCATAATTCCTTCTTACATTCTTGTTGCAGGTTTATTGGTGATGTCATCGCTGAACATTGTTTTTGTGTTGATTGCGTCATTCCGTATGGTGTGTTCATCCTGACATTAGAGCGAATGCAAGATGAGAAGTAAAATTTGTGAGATCATCATTTCCAGTCGCACCAAGTTGTATACATAATCAGCTAATTCCCTTCCACAACAAAATAACAAGAGTACATATGAATGGTGTTCATGGAATGTGTTGTATTGTTTTAACTGAGCTAAAACCCAACAACAAAAATTCAGTGCTAGAATTTTTTAGTGCGTGAAGAACGTGTTTTTGGTGAAGGGAATGAATGTGTTGTGTGGTTTCTAATCAAATACTCAAGATAATCAAGTGATATTCCATAAGATGAATTTAAAATATGCCCATTATTTGTAAATATGTGTTTTTATAGGAAAGAAGAAGATTCATGAATGAAAAAAAATATTTGTTGTGTGAAATCAACAGCCTCTTGAATAAGCTCAGAATACATTGAATTGATTCTCTCATAAGGTCAGTGATAATATATGTAATTGTTTTAGTTCTGCCTACCATGTTAGTTCTAGGATTAAAAGTCATTTGATATTTCTGAAAATCAAAATGTTAAACACATCGTCTTATAAAAGGACTCTCTTCTAATATCCGAACACAGTAGTTTTAGATATTGTGTGGAATATCACGTAATTTTGCAGTAAATTTCATGTCAATTTAGTGTTCAATTTTAAAATTGTTTATGTAAAAATTGATGCGATAATAAGAAAAAAATTGTTCGCTTTTAATTCAATGTTTACAGGTGGCTTTTTCAGTTTTATTAAGAAAAACTCAAGACACATTATATTACTTTTAAAAACATACTTCATATTACAAAGAACCCGCTGATTAATATCTTCTGTAATTTCGAACATTTGCAATATAATTCAGAGTGTAATATTGCGAGCGTCAAATCAAAACTATCTGGCTGCAAAGTATTTACGTGATTTATATTTTAAAAATATAAAAAAATACTTTAAATTAAGTATTGTAAATTTGCTAAGTCATATGTGAAGCACCATAATTTACAGCACTATTCGTGAACGGTTGTAAATGTATCAGTCTCACTTAAAAATTTAAATTAATTTTTCAGTTCCTAACTTGTATGTACTCCAAATGTATTCGGACCTTAACTTATTTCCTGCTGGCAGATATTTGATGATAAAAATTCATATTCGAAAATACTTGGCAAGAGCTTAAAGCCAATTACAGGAAAGCACTGAAAAATGAAAAATGTCTTAATGCAGAAGATGAAAATACTCTAAGAAGAAATGATAAAAATTGTATAACAAATAATATTCTTGGATTTAGCAGTTAATAAATTGTACTCTGTTAAAATTATCAGTATGTCTGCAGAGAACATTTTCCTCAGAAATGCAATCTTTGCAAGACGGCTTACATAAAAAATTGGAAAGCCTTTGACTGGTCCTGCAGGTGCAAGCAAATATTGTCACGTGTCACAGTAACTAAAGACGGGGTTCGGATTGGTAATTTGTTTTATTAATCACCTACAGTTCGTTAACTCCCATTAATGATTACATTGTTACTGCTTTACACAATTTACGATCACTCCACGTTAATCTCTTCAGGCTATCTGCACTAGTCTTCACGGATTTATATCACAGGAACTATAGTAATCTCACTGAATTATACATTCCAAATATTACATATAAATAAAGTCTTCTTAATCATACGTTAAATCTTTACAGGCCGAATTATAATTCTTCTTCAACTACGAAATTCCCATGGCTGTTTCCTGCCGAGAACTGATTTGCTTGCTTGTTCACGTGCTTCTGCCGCTGCTACTATTCGTAACTGCCCTGAACGAATTCTGTCTCTTACTTATATAGCCGCGGAACGGGCACGGACCTACAGTAAACAAATACCACCTGATCTTTATCCAGCCAGTCTATTGGAGCGTCCGTCGGATTTACAGAAGGCAAGGCTTCGTCTATTGTTGCATCTAGGATCATGTTTACATAGTTCTTGCCTGACACCGCGTTAATCAAATCCGTTACAGTATCAAAAATGGACGAGCGGTGAAATTTGTCTTTAAAGATAGAATGCAAAATGAAAGATCAATGAATAATAGCCCAAAATCAAGTGCCGAAATATTCAAATTAATGTGCTATAATACTAACACTGAACTAATTATGAATAATTTATGGCATCTCCACTGTTTACGTCCCTTAAAGAAATAATGTACATACGGAAATATGCAGGGTGTCCCAGGAGGAATGTGCCAGACTTCGGGAGGGTGTTCTTTGTGTTAAAGTATGCCGATATAACCCAAAACACCTATGTCCAAAGTTGAACGGTTATGGAGATAATGGCCAGAGAAGTGTGAAACTTTGACAGGTGTTACACACTTGTTGATTAGCAAATACATATTAAAACTGCCATGAATATGTGGTTTCTGTAATGTTAATAATGTACGTAACATCAAACTAACTTGGGAGTGACATGAAGCCATTAAATTGAACTACAAAAAACTCGCACGCCGTGTCATAGTTGTCGTTAAGGTTCCAAGCACTATACATGACACATGACTGGCAAGCACTGCCATAACATTGCTGACTGATCATTCTGGTATGCGAGTGTATGCAGCTAGCGTGAGCCGTTATCACCACACTCAAGGACAAACAGATAAGAGAACACAGCTGACAGGTACAGTGCGTGAACCCGCCAGAAGACCACACGTTCTTTGGGCCATTATCTCTGTAACCGTTCAACTTTTGACATGTGTTTTTGGTTATATCGGCGTACTTTAACATAAGGAACACCCTCCTGAAGTCTGGCACATTCCCCTGGGACACCCTGTATAACTCCTTGATTCTAACTTTAAGCTGTAAAATTTCACCAATAGTTAGTGTCTTCTTGCCATTCAGCGAAACTAATATTTCTGTATCAGTCGATTTAAGTAACAGGCTTGTGCAATAATATACGTATATAAACTTATCAAAATTAAAAGCCCTACTTACTTCCTTTTTATAGCTAACCTGAACCACTCTCTATGAAAGGATAATATTCCCGATATGCCACTATATCCGGCCAAACGAGAAAGGAGTGTCCCACTACGCCGTATTATTATCACTTAAATTCACAAGACCTGAATTCATTTTCCCCATCTGTGTCTAAAGTGCTTTCCTAGGGATCAGAGAGTTTAAAAGAGTTATTTGTAATTGTATCAACCACATTTTAGCTGAAAATTTTCTTCTGAACATTCCCCTGAGTTTTGCAAGGTTTGAAATATTTATAGTTATCTCCAAGGAATCATTTTTATTTTGCGGTCCAGCAAGACTAAAAGGAGCAGAAATATCAAATGCCGTTTCAGGAACGCCTCTGCTTAGCTCATGAACAATCTTACTGCGTCAATCAAACAGTAAACACAGTAATAATAAGGATTCTGTTGGTCACGTTTGTGGGTTCCGCTTTTTTTCAGAAAAACATGTTTGTATGCAATAACATGGAACATGGATCAACACACAAACATACCTTGCGTATTGGGTACTTGGTCTTTGTCCGTATTTCGATATTCTTCGCGAAATACATGACAACAAACTTGTCTTCCAAAGACGAACCTCTGTTGCATAGCACTCAAAGCCCTTCGGCTAAATGGTGGAAAGGGGTTTTATTTCCCGTGAGGTGGTCCGTGTTCAAGGCTACCTTTACTCTTGTGTTACGTCTCTGACCAATGAGGCCTCAAAATTATGTGTTATAACTACGAACCACAGGAAGTGAAGTGTATATATTTCCAAGTTGGCCGCGCCATAGCTCAAGCGGTTCGTTGTTTCTGTTGTAGTGTTCTCTCGTTTCTAACGTAAACCTACTCTGGATATCTTAAGGTACGTTCGTGGAGCACAAATTTTCCTAAGGTACAAATGTGTTTTTAAAATCTGTATGGGTCGCATGACGTAATATTTTATGTCATAAAATAATTTTACTGGTAAAATTCCGCCAGAACATTTCGTTACAGTACAGAAACTGTAGTCCGTGTTCTGTCCCCTTTAAGCCCAAGCGCACACTGGCGAGCATGGCGGTTTGCTATATAGTATATACTTCGACAAGTTGTTCCATTTCTTTTCATTTTTTGTGATGTCTTCACTTTCCATTCTTCGCTTCTATCTTTTCTTTTAGCGGTTTCTCATTTATCCAGAGATCAAGTGACAGCTCCATTAAGGCATATCAATAATGGTCTCGTGCAAGATCGAGCCGTGTTTTCAACCGGAAGATACCGCTAAAGCTGATGACATGTGACGTGATCATTTTGTACGGTGGTTACATATCTATGCAACCCTGGAATCTGTAACACTTTCCTAGAATCTGGAAATTAAATTATAATAGAGTATGCGCAATTCAGAAAAGTAGTGGAGACTGTGGTGAAATATTTTAAGCATTTCGCCTTGAAGCTAAACCTGACAATGCCATTAACCGTGGTTTTATTCTTGAGTATCTGGGAAATTTGTCTCTCGGCCGGATCGACGGTTTTTTAACTTTGTAGTAGTTCTGCATGCAACTCAAATTTCATCTACTGGAACATAATTCAGCCCAAATTCAAGTGTGATTTATGGGAGAAACAAAATATTAAGTTTCCTCCAGGCGTCCTTCTTTACGTCATCCGGCTTTCATCCGTTGGCACTTGTATACCATGAGGGTTTAGTGTTGATAAAAACATTGTTATAATTTGGTCTGTTTCTGCTGTAGACATCTCAAGACTGAAAATAACTTCTATTAATGATTATTGTGCCGGTCACGGTAGCCGAGCGGTCTAAGCCATGTACTGTCTTCTCTCGTTTGGAAACCGGGATCGTGGGTTCGAATCTCACTCAGGGCATGGATGTTTGTGTGCGTTTTTCTGTGTTTGTGTACAGGTAGAGGCCTTGCGACGAGCTGATCACTCGCCCAAGGAGCCCTACCGTGTGTAAGATCTAGAAAAACCGAAGTGAACGGAGAAGTTCATGGAGGTAGGCCTAGGCCCACTGGGGCTGTAGCACCAAAAAAAAAGATTATTGTAGTACTTGGAAAATGAGGTCAATACAAATGTAAAAGTATCACGTCAACCTCACAAAAGAAATTTAGGAAATAAGTGTAAAAATTACGTATTTTTCGCTCCGGAAAGGATACTTAACCGACATATGTTAGTAATGGAGAGCGAACTGACATAAGAACTTCATTCAGTTAACTAAGTCTGTATCCATTTTCCGTGAACAAGTGAATTACAACCCGTAATTACGGCCTGCCGCGTCGTTGTGAATTGCAAGATAACCTCCATTAATTCACAGATCCAAAGCAGTCTCCATCAATTTTCGTATAGCATTTGGGGTATAACTAACATTTACTTCACCCTGTTATTTTATCACGATGAATCACGCACAAACTGCTGTTCCTTTGGTCACAAGGCAATCTAGCATTAAGATGCGAGTGTGTGCAGAGTTCAGACATGTTCGTTGGTGTTTTTGTTTTCGAAGGGGGGGCGGTTGATGCAAAATGGTTCTTCCAATGCTGGACATTGTTCAGAAACCCGGTGAATTATCACGAAACTCTGTTTTAAACAGATTTAGATAAGTTTCATTTTATATGCTTGTGCCCTTCTTGAAGTATTAAGATTTTATATTACAAATATTTATATATTTATTGTTATGCAATACATTGTATCCTGAGTTGTCTCTCCTGGCACTTTGCACCCTATTTATATAATGTAACATAATAAATATAAGAAACATGTACATGCATTAAGTATGCCAGTGACGTAATATCCTG